TTGATTTTCATGCGTTATTTCTGACATTTCTCATATGTGTATTATATGGTTTATAAGACGTATATACTATCTGTCATCGCGGTGACAGGTTGTGTTCACTGACAACACGTTAAATAAAAATAACAATAGCGTGCGCGTAGCGCGCGCCTATGTTGTGCTAGTTTTTACAAATTTGATTATTGTTTTTAGATTGAGCATCTGGAGGAAGTCATGAAGAAAGAAAACGTTCCCGAAAACTTTGAACTTTACAAATTACTCGATCTCTTGAAGAAGAACGATCATATCTTACCTGAGGTAATTCATCAATTGTGTGCTAAAATTTTATCCCATAGAAAAGTAACGCGTCACGTTCTATAAAAGAGAACACGGGTTTAGAATAACAGAATGAATACAAATTTTATTTGTTTGTTTCGCAGAAATTGGAGAATCATATTTGCGTAGAAATAAACACGGCGCTACGCACACGGCTGGATCCAACACGATCTAACTTAATGCGACAACAACAGACTTCTCGTTTCGAAACCAACACCAGGCCAGTGTTGCGGGATCTTTTGTAAATAAAGATAAAAACTTGTAGACTACGTCATAATATTGTAACATCCAATGATATTGTTATGGGTGTGAAGCTAAGCCAATGAATAAATAAATATAATCTATATTAATGATTGGACGAGCAGGCCCTCCGTCTCGGTCGTCTACTTGGTTTTCGACGAAGGCCTGATTGCCTTTTTGAGTTTCTTTAAGAGCGCAGCGGGGGTCTTCCTTGTCTTTTCGCTCTTGATGAAAGATGACAGTCTCGGAGTCTTTCCTTTTGCTCCCTTATGTTGATTCGCATAGTCCAGAATGGAAGCCAACGTGCCAATCGATATTAACATTCTTACCCCAAATTTTAAATGAGATTCGCAAGATATGTAAAATTGCGCCATTTATTGACTTATTATACACTTTACAGTACAAAGAAAGCATATTACATATTTCTAAAATATTAAAAATAATCTCAGTATTCTTAAACCACAATTCGCAAATCAATAACTTAAGAGAGAGACTTAATTTTTTGCGCAATATCGTGCAACCAGCGCGACGTATCTTCGGAAGTCGGAAATTGCGATCTCATTATAGATATCAAAGATAGCATCCATTTACTGTCGATCTTGAAATTCTTATCATCGCCTCTGTAAGAAAAAAAAAAAAACAATTTATTCACACAAATCACATGTATGTGGTTCCAATAATGGAATCAGTAATTTTCACAGCACCGACCTGTTTATCAGAGCGGCACTAAAATTAATCCAGCTCTCAACGTTCGCGGGATATGTAAATATGTTTTTCTGAGCCTGTCTCAGACCCTTAGCAGTGCCGAGGTTGCCGTACGCCGACGCGCAAGCGACATACGCAATATCAGTCATGGACGTGTTTCTGCTCAGAACCAACGCTGCTTGGGCAGATTTACGGAAGATTTCCAAATTCGTGTCCAACAACGAGATCCGGACGAGACGCACCCAGTATCTGATATCGTCTACGAGAGGGAGAAAAATCGTGATATTTATTTTAAAATAATCTGCACACAGCAGATAAGAAACTTTATAACAGCATCATAACTTACTGGGATGTCTGAAAATAGCTTTGGAAAGAATTCGAATAGCTTCGGTGAGATTTTTCTGTTTGACGTGATAGTACGCGAACAGTGTGACGACATGATGACCGTATTCGGGATGATCTTCGTACCGTTTCAGTTCTTTCAACACCAAAGAAGCCAGATTGAAGTCGTCATGCAAAATACCCAGAGCGGCGGTTGCCAAGAAACCAACTACGGAAGGCGGTTCAATTTGTATGCACTGAAACAGCAGAGTCTTGACAGCGTCCGCGCCTTGAAAGATATGAGCGATCGCGGCCATTGCGCACAAAACGTTCGCCTTGTGATCCTCGGTATCCGCCAGCCAATGCAAGGCTGTTTCGTACGAGTTGTACGATTCCTCGTATTGTTTGGCTGTAAATAAAACAATTACTCTCTTCAAACAAGTTACAAGTCTGAATAAAAATTCAAATGTATCTAATTTCTGAGAACCACCCCGCACCTTTGAACAAGGACAACGCTAAGTGATACTGGGAGATGAAAGTCACGCATTTTACTTGTCTGCACAACTTCACCGCTTTCTCGTGTTCTCCGATCTGAATCAGAACACGTGCCAAATTGACGGATAGTATATCTCTTTCATCTTCGTCCTGAGTTAACTCTAAAGCCGTGACGAATTGTTTGGCCGCCGTATTGTACAATTTTTGTCGCTCCAATAATAAACCGTAGGTATTCAGAGCGTGTACATCGTTCGGTTCGCGTTCTGTGAACGACGATGAAATTATTTCGCATTAAATTCAAATAAGAAAAATACGAATCGGTGCGTTGCTAACCTGTGTACCAAGTCATAGCGTCGGTCGCCGCGGGTACCGCGTGCATGTTCTCGATAGCGTAAACGAACAGCGGATCCTTTTCCTTTGCGGGATCCAGAAGAGTCGTGAGTACCGAGTGAGCGTAGCCCAAAGCCGCCTGATTGTGATAGCCCAACTGTGTGGAATGTCGAAACAGATCCATCGCTTCCTTCCTCAAAGGTTTCGCCAGCGACTCCGCAATGAATCCCTGACCGATCCAGCTGTTCATGTAGCTAGGATCCGCGCGTTGGGCTCGAGAAAACGCCTCGTTAGCTTTATAAAGATCTCCTTTACAATAAATCAGATCTCGGTTATTATTGTTGAATATATAGAAATTAAATAAATTAAAATAAAAGATAGCAGCTGTTATATGTACCTAACTGTAGATACAACGTTCCCAAATTGTTCCAAGCCACAGCGTTATTTAATTCTCGATCGATCGCCATGACGAAACAATGTTGCGCCAGAGCATAATTTTTTATATGAGGCGACATGCAAGCAACACCCAGAACGTTCCAATGGAGCCACGAATGCGGGTGGAGTTTGACGGCATGTTTCGCAGCAGCTAGACACTTGGCCGCTACATCAGTTTTGTCGTTTGTGAAATTGCGATTTAGTTGCATCAAGTAACAGCACGCCAGATCGTGCCACAACAATGCGGAATTCGGTGTGATCGATAGCGCGCGACAAAACCATCTGGAAAAAAAAAAAAAAAAAAAAAAAAAAACAAAGAGCATTGATAAATGTTCGACACCGCAGCGAGATTTTAACGAATGATTTTGTTTTACCTGACTGAGAGCGTGACTATCTCGTTCCCTTTTATTATCACGTGCTCGTCGATATTGTCGATATTGTCGAATTTCATTAAAATACGCTTAACTTCTAGATAGCAATACTTTTCGGGCAAAGTAGTCAGTTTGTAGCACACATCGCCGAACAATTTCCAAGTGCAAGACAAATCGCCGCGTACCATAACAGCATCTGTCAGACTATCCGCCGCTTGTTGCAGATTTTCTCGCGCGCGGCACAGAAACTGCTTAGCGATATTTTCTTTCGCCAGACCCAAACACGCCTGAGCCAGGCCTTTCAATGCAAAAATATGTTTTTTCTCGTGTTGCAATATACTTTCGAAATCCTCCTTGGCTTCCTTATGCTGGCCAATGAGCTGAGAAAACAAAGTAATTTGTCATTACATTGACAATCTGACATCTTCATCAATCTTCTCACGCGGTGTTATCTGCGTTTTTATTTTATTCACGTACCACTTTAATATGCGCAAGTTGTATCAGAGGATACAAAGACTCCGGGCTCAGTTCTAACGCGCGTTGATAAGATTTCAGTGCCGATGTGTGCGCGCCACGCGCTAAATACGCGTCCGCCAGAGATTCCCAGCTGTGACTATACAAAGTGTAAAAAAATAAGGAGTGTCACAGGAGTCTGTAACACAATTTAAAAAAATTAATGGTGAGTTATGTTATTACTTGTCGTTAGGATCGGCTCGGATCACATGCTGTAATGCCTTGATGGCCTGCTCGGCGTCACCTTGATCCAAGTGATGCAAGCCTAATTGCAGCCACGCCCACTTCGGCCCATTGCCCTGCATGGTTACTCTTTGCAATAGCTGTATGTTAGCGTCCTAAAGCAAAGCATATAGGAAAGATCTTGCTATTGATTAAAAATTCCATATGATAATTATCTAATGTTACAAAACAAATCAAGTCTTTGAAGATGAATGATGATGCTCACAGTGTTCTTGAGAAGTCGATAAGCAGTGCTCAATCCGATGCCGGCCTCTTCGGAATTCGGATTGATCTGCAACGCGGCGTGATAACATTTCCTCGAGCGTTCGATGTCGTTACCGTGTTCGCGATAATAATGTCCAAGATACAGCAAGCATTCCCAGTTATTGCGATCAGCTTGCATGCCATTCAGAAAAGCCATCAAGCTGTGATTATAATCGTCCATGTCCCAGTAAATTTTACCAAACAGTAACCAAGCCTCCGAATCCTCCAAAGCTAGCTCGAGGGCGTTAATGGCTTCCTCATATTGTTTACGTTTCCACAAGCGCAACGCTTTGAAAATAACAGCTTGGATCTTAGTCTCCTCCCGAGACTCGAGATCGTCTAATGTAGCGACAACATCGCGTTCGTTCAGTAATACGTTTATCCGCGTGTGTATCAGTTGCACTTGTACGGAAGAATCGACCTTTAACAACTGAATACAAACTTGTCACATAGAAACAAATTATCAAAAAAGAGTTTCAGAATATATTCATTCAACAATATTCACCTCCTCGCACATCTGTCGCGCCTCCGTCAACTTTTGCTTGTTGCTACTTCTGCTCATCGCTTCGAGTAATCTCAACTTAATACTGAGCTGAAGCTTATCTTTCAAACGTGGTTTCATTAATTGCAGCGCTTGTCTGGAAGCGTTCTCGGTTTCCTCCCAGCAATAAAGCTTATAGTAAACCTGGCTCAACATTAACCAAGCATAAAACGACTGCGCGTTTAACGCGGAAATCACGTGAGTTAAACACTCACGGGAATTAACTAGTTTGTCGGTGCTTCTCAAGTGCACAGCCCTTGCGATGAACGCAGCTTCAGAATTCACTTTCAATTTTAAGAGAGATTCGTAATAACGAGCTATATCGATCTCAAATACATGTCCATCCAGTATTCCTTCCTCATAATAGACTCGGCATATAAATTCTGTGATATAAGAAATAAAAGATTACTTAAAAATATATGATATAATAATATCAAAACCTTGATTGAAAATATTGACAATTAGCTTGCCTAAGGGATAAACATCTTCTGGAAATTGCATGTGCATGTCCTGAGCTGTTTCCAAAAGGACTGCCAACTTGCTTGAATCGTACAAGATCTTTAAATATTTCCGGTAATACTCCTGTCTGTTCATCAGATCGGTATCATTTATCACAGATGCCAATATACTTTCATAAAGTTCTCGGTGTTTGTGTGTTGTATGATTAGAATGTTCTGTCAACATCCAAGCTAGAGTTTTCTCAATCAAACTTCTCTTCTCCTTGGTTGAAGTGTTTCGTATTACGCTCATTGTATCTAATATCTCAGACAGCACCTCATCGTCTTTTGTTTTTAGTCCAATTTCAGAAACTTTGTTTACAAAGGAGGTAAACTTGGGAGAGTCACTAAAATGCGAAACATCAATCTTTAAATTATTCTACACACAGTAAAGTGCATTTTTTTCTTTAAAATAATCTAAAAACTTGCTCCAGTATCTTACCTATCCAATTGCAAGAGCTTGCAATAAGCTGTAGCTAATTTTTCCAAATTTCCATTGTTCTGCGATTGTCCTTTTTCATAGTACGCCACCAGACCTTGCCAAGCTAATGGATTGCCGGGTTGCACTTCCACTGCTTTTTGAAGAACCAAGGCAACTTGCGATTTAAATTCTTCTACTTCCTGCATGGCACGTGCTAACAAAAGTAATGCCGTATAATTGTTTTTGTCCTTCTTCAGGATCTTTTTGCATTTCTTCATAGTTTCTAGATGTTCATTCTGCTTGAAGGATTCACGAGCTTCCTTCAACAAGGTCTTTACTTCGTCCGACATTTTGCTCTTGAGAAAAACTTGATGTGTCTGTAAATTTTACATGTATATGTATATGCGGAAATGTTTTGTTTTTTCACTTATAGAAGAGCTAACAATCATAAAAACCTTGTAACAAAAACATTAAATATTTACATACCTCTGAGAGAAATATAACAAGTTATACAAATCGTATCATGATTGTGACAAATAATCATGTATAAACAATCACGTTTGTTACATATAAAAATAATGTGATACAATTGCTTGATAACGTGCTAGCGCGTTATCAATTATAATTCATACAAATCAGTTGATTAAGTAACCTGTATACATCAGATGTATTATGTTCCTTCTATATTTCTCTCAAGCCCGTGTCACATTGGATTGGGATTGCAAATCGAAATTTAACCGATCAAGACGAAGTCCGCCTCGTCTTGATTGGCTAATTTCCGATCCAATTCACGTCTGCAATATGTAGTGTGACACGAGCTTTACAATAACTTTCAATTCAATTGAATTTCAATGGACGTAGAGAGAAAACTAAGTTGTTTGTTTTTTTCGCGAACTACATGTGATCGCGCCCTAAGCGCGACTCGCGATTGTTGTTGATTCGGTCTTACGGAAACATAACCAAAAGCAGCCGCGAAACGAATGCAAAGGAACAGGATAAATTTATGTTTATGTTCGTACGATGTGTAACCGCACGTTGTTTAAAGTGCTTCGCGAATCTAATTTGCGGTTCGCTAATTGAAATGGGATATTATACACATCAGGAAATCGCGAAAATCCGTCATTTTCACACGCATGTGATTGACCATGTTGCTAAGTATAGGATTGTATATTTTTAGGTTGCAGCTAGTAGCAGTCTGAATCGGGAATTGGGAATGCCCTGAGATCTTATATTGCCAAAGGTTTGTAACGCATACATATATATATATATATATCATTTTATTTGAGATGTTATTTTGAGAATTTTTGTAATCATTTTTAGTGCGCAATAGTTTTGTATAATTTATACAAATCATATATGTGTATGTATTTATTCAAATACATCAGCTAAAAAATGATAATTTAATCGTATATTGAATCAAATCAACTCAAGTTTTACAATTTTACATATTTTCAGTCATAGAGAAAATGAACATGGCAAACAACATAATAATCAGAAGTAAAGATAAACTCCAAGAAATTAGCATAAAACTGGAACAAAGTCACTTAGCTTATTTGCAAACAGACGACAGTCCCTTAAAACTGCAACAACGAAATAAATTAGAAGGTATTTTACGTAATGTAATATGATGTTGTGTGTGGAAACAATTGTTTATTCAAAATGGTGCTCTAATTTTTGGAGGATTGTTGGTAGCAGCTGTTTTTCTAAATATATCCTTTTTGTGCGCAATATTTTCAGGCTTCATAAGGGAATATCTTTGTCTAGTGCCAAATGAGAGTAAATATGTGTTTCAAGAAACGGCAGATATTTTACATAGATCGGCAGCGACGCTCACAGATTTCAGTGGATACAGAGCGGCAACTGCTTGGAGCGCGATATCCTTGTACGCGGCCAATCTCTTGGCTCAACCCTGGCGAAAGGAATACAGGACAGTGAGGGTAATTGATTAAGCGGTGTTTTGTTAATTGATTACTTTAAAAAAAAAATTAACTTTAAAGAATTAAAATATATATATCTGATCTGATCTCTGTTTTAGACATACAGTGGTTATTACAAACATGAGGTGGAAGCGAATTTGATAGGCGCGGAATTGATGTTTGAACAGATGGGATACAAGCATTCCGGCTTGGGTATACTAAGTTTGGAAGGACCAATTGATCCGGACAAGGTTTCAAGCGTCAGCAGAGACGCTATTGTGGCTTTTGTAGAATGTCAGGTAACGAGAAGAAGATAAATAACAAATGCAATCGGATGTAATCAGTCATTTGTGTAAACATATTGTGCTCTTGTGCAAATAAAAAAAAAATTACAAATACAAAGTTACTCTTGAATTATAGATTCTGAAGCAAATATGGGAAAGTGTTTCGCAAGGTTACACTATCTCCTGGTTGGAGGTGTTGGAGTTTCGTGAGAATCATGTCGGCACGCCGGAACAAGCTATCCGTGCACTCAGCTATCGATTTCTCGAGAAGATACGCCAGAACCGCACGAAGGTCGACAGTTATAAGGATTATTATCCGCAGCAGAGCGACATTAACACCATGCCGCACTTGCCTTACCATCACACCATGCATGCCAATTATCACGGGAACACGACGATGCTACCGGCCTATCGCGCGGACTATCAGCGCATCGAGGACTCGACGAACATGGTGATGCCGGCCAACTACCGATATTTTCAACCGGTCGATCAGAGTTGCTTCAATTATTGCAACAACTACGGTTGTCTGTCTAATCATGGGAATAAATTCTACAGTGGCGGTGTGCAACCGAATCCATATTGCGCCACCTTGCCGGCGTATGTGAACAGGGTGCCCACCGACGATAACCTAATAGGGCTCGACATGCCAACGTCTGTGGCGAACTACGACAAAACGCACGTTTCTCGCAAATCCGCGTCACGAATACCGGATTTGGACGAGGTGGACTTCTACATACCGCAGTCGAGCGACAGAGATCATTACGAGCACGGGAAATCCGACAAGAAATCAAATTCCAGTGTCAGCGGCGACCGAAAGAACGAGTGGGACTTCGTGTACAAAAATCTCGAGAGTCTCGGCTACTATAAGAATCTCGACGATCGGAACAACATATTGCAATACAAGAAAGAGTTCGATTCCATGGATCGCGCGTCCAAGCACAAATCGCTCAGGCAGATGGAGAACGAGGACAAGTACGCGTACACCAGGTACGAGAAGAAGAGAAGCGACGGCAGATCCGAAGCGAACGAGATCAATTTGTACGAGACCAACGGCAAGAACTGTCAGGACACTCTGTCCTTCGCCAAGAAATCTTCCTCCTTCGATCTGTCGGATTCAAATAGATACAGCATCGACACATACAACAGGGACAAGAGGCACAACAGTCAGACTCTGCCAATTCTTCACACGCACAAATCCGCCGATCAGATATCGAAGATCGCCGATTCGCTCAAGCACATCGATGTCGCGCAAGTTGGCCGAGAGAAGAAGGAAAACGAGAAAGTGGGAAACGAAAAGAGATGGAACTGCGCCACGTGCACGTTCTTGAACATGCCCGATCGGGATATCTGCGAGATGTGCGCCAAGTCGAGGTCCAAAGGAAACGAGGACAAACCGCTCGCTAGCGGCGGTAAGGAGTGTCCGAAATGCACGCTGGTGAACGAAAAAAATGTTTCTATCTGTGATGCTTGCCAGACAAGTCTGAAGGATTCTCCGACTTACATATAAAGAAACTTTTTTCGCGCGAGAAGAATATTTCCTACCATCAATCGCGATTTGTTTGCGAAGAAGTTTTTGTGTTGCGTGTCAGAAGATACATGATTGTCGAAACAAATACGTGTGTGTACAATTCGAATTGAAAAAATTTATCGCGATACAGTAATGCTCCACATAAAAGCGTCGCGATTTCGCGTGTGTCCCCCATGTTCTATCGCAATGTTCGTTTTTTTCTCGAAAAAGATCGCAGCTTCAAAAAATTGGTCATTCGAAACGATTAAGAGAGAAACTTGACGAGCGCGAAAACAAAACCGAGTGGTCGTTCGAAAGCGCCAATTTGCAATTGTAACAAATACGTAAGTACACGTCCACAAAAATATTAGATTCTAAAAAATTCGGTATCAAATTAAAATTGTTGCAAGAGATTATTTTCAGAAATTTTAAATTGCATGACAAATATCGAAAAAAAAAAAAAAACATTGTATAAATTTTTAATCCGGGCGATCATGTCCTGAACGACAAAAATCGTTTTTAAATACGTAAATCGTGTAAATTACATAAGAGAATTTGAACATACGTACACATAAAATGTATTAAAGAAGCAAACATATGAACTATATAGAAAAAAGTACAAAAAACAGTTTACTTGCGCATAAAAAGCTTATATACTAACGTTTTAGTATTATTAGTTTATACTTGTTATATATCTTTTACTATTAAATGAACATTGATTCGACATTCAAATATCGTATGCATCACAACTATTGTCGCATAACATCTGTGACGGTGTTAACAATATTAAACAATGAAATTTAATCAAATATGTTCCTAAACTTTCTCTCTCTCTTTCTCTCTCTCTCTCTCTCTCTCTCTCTCTATTTCTATCTTTACATATATATACATGTATGTATTTCTATCTGTTTATTTATTCGCCTAGACGCAAGTAATTTTTAATACTATTCGTAAACGTGCAATATTATAATCATAATTAATATATTTTTGCATTGATTATATATAAATATATATATATATTTTTTTGCAATATATATATGTATAT